TCATAAGTCCTTGGCAACAATGTAATGGTTGGACGACGGGTTGTTGGTGAGGTGAACCAAATAAAGACTTACAAGGTGTATTGACCAATAGGTTCCAATGACCAAATTATGGTATTAGGCTGCGAGTTTAGATCAACTGACTCCAATAGGGTTAGGAGGTTAATCATATTAAGATTTTCTCTGATCATGCTTCCCTCTAAAGTGGATGTAAAGCTTGAGATAGGATCATTATGTCTGGATGATAAGTTATACAACCGTAGGAATTGGCTAGCCGAAGATTTATTCTGATCCATGTATCCTCCCAAAACCAAGTATATGGGACAATGGATTGAGGTTGGTATTCCAGAATGTTGGCGAGACCACATGGGAGAGGGATGTGGTGAAGATTGTAAATGGGAAAAGACACGTTTTAGGAGTGTATTCAGTAGAGAACTGGCGACAGTGACAGAATTGAAATTTGCCCAGATTGTTGGCTTGAGGCAGCATGCTGAAAACTAGGATTTTGCATATTTAGGCTATTGGTCGACATAAAGGATATATTTGTTAAATAGGCCATTGGTGATGGTGAAGGTTGGAGGGAGTGGCATGTGGAGATCTTGTGGAACCTCAACGATTGGAAAATTATTGAATATGAGGACTTACTGTCTACACTAGAGTTGGTTGCTTTGAATGAGGAATATGATCAACTGGTTTGGAAGCTCAGTCCTTCTGGCAGTTCACTGTTACAGGCACTTGACTAAAAAGGAGCCCATAGACAGTAGTTTTCCTAATAGACAGATTTGGAAGATGAAGGCCCTCCCTAAGTTTTTTTTTTTTTTGCATGGGAAGTAGGCAGGGAGTGCATTTTGGCTAACTGGTGCTGCATATGTAAGAGGGCAAAGGAGACGTGCGGCCATTTGCTCCTTTGGTGTCCCGTTGTGCATAGTACAATTAATTTAGATAATGTAAATGGTTTTGATAATTTAAGGATAAATAGTTCCAGACCCTTAGTTTTTTTTACAGGGTCATCCTCTTTGTTCTATGGAGGATTTGGCAGACTTTGTTGATACATTGAAGAACTTGTAAATTTTGTACATGGGTGGTACCCCATTGGTGCCTGTATCAATACAATTTTCAAACTATATTTAAAAGAAAAATCTACTTTTATTTGAGAAGTACATTTGTCTTCGATCATTTTTCCTGTGTTATGGGATATCTATGCAACATTTACGAAATTGAAGTATCTTGTAGTATTATCAAATGTGGAAGTTAAGGTAATGGGGATGACTTTTCATATAATGCTCATCTTCACTAAAGTTTCACTATCTTCTTATGATTTGCAGCTAGGATATGGCAAATGATGCTCGATCTAGACAGGCAATTAAGGATGATGATAGCAATAATTCAAAGGGGAGGCGTATCAGAACTAGGGGATCAACTAGTTTGGGTGTAGCAACACCAAAATCATCAGGTTTAAGAAGGTCAACCAGAGATATTTCATCAAAGAAACATACTTCTCCAAGTCCGTCAAGCACTCGCAAATCTGGTAGACTTGAGAAATTTACTTCAACAACTCCAGTCATAAGGAAGTCAGAGAAAGCAGAAAAGGAGAATATCCAGAGCCCTTTGAGGAGGTCTGAGAGGGCTAAGAGGCTCTCCTCATCCAGTTCTTCAGTCTCAAAGAAATCTAACAGAACATCAGGATCATCAGATTTTAAACAGAAGAAAGAGAAGAAAGAAAAAAGTGTGAAACGGCTTACTGTGGAAACTAAAGAGGTTAAGAAAATAGAGAAGCAGATTGAGAAATCTGTTAATGTGGAAGAGAAGAGAATGAATGCTCGTGCTTACAAGGCTTTATTTGAGCGACCAACAAAGGAGATTAATGCACCAGGTAGTTAAGTTCTTTTCCCATAGATTATTCTGTAAACTCTCTGCTTATTCTTCACGATAAGAATTATCTGGAATGAGTGCCTTGCAAAATGGTAGGAAAATCTGGTTGAATGTTTTTTCTTTTTAATTGATATTCAACATACACGAGTTGCTTAAAATGCATCATACTCCTGTTGTAACTTGTGAGTTCTTGTGTCATGGTGGCTACAATTTTCCTTTTCTTCCCTGAGGTGTTTGTTTGTGCATATCTTTGTTGTTCTGGATAAATCTAATGAAAAATCGTTCCTGAAAAGAATTATTTATATGCCTTCTGCTTGCCTGACAGATAGTCCTGAGGAACTTGACAGGATGGATAAATTATTTGAAGATTGTAGCAGCATTTGCAAAGGTAATGATTCTAAGAAAATAGATGGAGGCTTTGACCGCAGCAATGGGAGAAGGGACGATTTGAAAGTAAAATGTCTTGGGATTGCTTGTGAAAGCACTTTGGAGGGATCTAATTCTGATGCAATTGAGTCTATGAAAGAAATATTAAAAAGCACTGTCGAAGTGGAGCCATCTGGTACAGTCTGTGCAGTTGTTAATGATGGTTGCGAGAAAGAAGCAATTGGGTCAGGACTTGGGGAAGGAATTTCTAAGACTACTGACATGGTCAGCAAAATTAGTGATGATACTGAAATGGCAGCAGTTGGTTGCTCTGCAGAGAATAATATGGATACATCAAAATTGTTGAATAGAGAATCCGGTTTGGAAAGGGATGACAAAACCATTTTAGCAAAAAGGAAAATAAACACAATAGATATGGTTTCTGATCCTTCTGATATGGTTATGATCAAAGATGCATGCAGGTCAATTGGTGATGCTAGCACATCGCCATCTGGGTGCAGAAGTAAGAGTTGTTCTCAAACTAGTGGCACGTGCCTTAAGAGGCAGAGGTACTAGAGTTGTGCAAGTTTATTTGTTTATCTTCTTTTATTCAAATGATTCTTTACTAAGTGCTTTAGAATTAATAAGCTGAATTGATATTCATTCTGTTAAAATTAAAATCAATGCATTTTTTATCTCCCTGCTTTATTTTCATTTCCGCAATGTTTAATATGACATTTTTGTGCACAAGATACGAAGGATAATTTTATGGAAATAAGGAGGTTGTGTGGTTCTTATACTTTACTTCCTACTTCATGAGTACATCTCTTACTCAATAGTGCACATAGAGTTGGAAATTTTCACCATTAAAGGGTGGTCTCATCCCATCCCTTTCCCAAATAGGCTGATTCTCACCCCGGCCTTTTGCCTTCCATACTGACTGTATTTTGTTATATATACTAAAGTTTTTTGAAATTTTGTGTCCTTCAGATGTAATTCTTCTCTGTAGTTTAGTCTTTGAAAAAGAAGAAAACCTAAAATATCATATGTCATATAATTTTGCTCAGAGATTGGCCAGCCATCATCTATTTATATGTAGGTTTTTCTCCTCTTCTTTTCTTTATGTTTTTTCATTCTTTTCTGAGGATGACTGGTCCTGGTTGTACTTCTTCTCTATCAAATAATATTTCTTTTTTCTGCCAAAAAAGTTTATTTTTACGTGACTTAGATAATGTAGCTCCAGCTAATATGAACTTATAATGAATTGAGGTTAATGTTTATCATGGAAGTTTCTCTTACCCCGATATTTTTTAAATTACTAAATAACTGTTAATTTTTATATGGGAACCAGAACCCGATGGGACTTTAATTTTTTCTGCGGGATGGTGCTGTAGGAGAAAACTGGTCTTGTTTGGTGCTATTGGCGTGCCTAAATTGTGCAGGTCAAGAAGTATGTCCGCATTTATTCTTACGCTGCAGTCTGTCAAATTTCTGACTGAAATCAAAACTTTGCAGTTTACGAAATAACCCCATCATTCTTCTAGTTGTATCTTAGTAGTAGTCCCTGTTGTGTAAAGCCTTTGGCCTTCCACTTATTCCTGAAGTTCTTCCCTAGATTTTTGTTGTTGACTTGAGAAACAATATACAATTCTCAGTTTTCCTTCTCTCTGAATTTTTGTTTGTTTTATGTTTTGCTTCTTGATCATTTGTGGTGATGGGAGTGGGGCACATCTGGTCTAGTTTTGAATTTGAAACTTCTGATGCAATTTTTCATGAAGGCTATTTACATAGGATCAGTTTATGATTTGTTAATCCATTTCAGTTGGAGTTGAAAGCTCCCTTTACTCTATTTTGGGTTATTTGGAGAGAGAGGAAACGGGTAGTTCTTGAGGATTGTTTTAGTACTCCTTTCTGTCGAATTACAAATAATTTCATTTCAGACCCTTAATATTTTGTTGAATTGTCGTCCCCTCCTCTGGTGGACTTAGAAGATGATATTGACATTTTGATTGGCTCCTTTCCATAAGCTGTGGTATATGGACCGCAGCCTTGCGAATTTTTTAGTTTTTTCTTTAATATTTAAAAAATTAGTCAAACCCTTTTTTCTGTAGTTTTGTGCGTCCATCACCCAAGAAGTTTTAATCTTGTTTTGCAATTTTGTAGGGTAAATTGTAACGCAGAATCAAGCTGGGAATTTTGTGATATGTCCTTCACTAAGGTTGGTTCTTGTTTTCTCCCTGCTCCTCTTCTATTTGTTTTCTTTGTGAAAATAGTTTCTCTAATTTGAGTATTTCGGTTTCTTGTATTACTTTAAGATTGAGTTTTTAATTATTATTATAGGATTTGGTGATAGAGATGGATCTGGATTGATAGTGGAAATTGATTCTGAATCAGGAATAAGATATTGAAAGTTAGCATTCCCTGTGGGCTTATGCTTTACTTCGATGCCTCTCTTGGTTTAGCCATTTTTTGGATAGAGTATTAAACTTTTCTTGTTATAATACTTCTGTTTTGTTCATTATTCTTGCTGTCATAAATAAATACCATAGGGAAGAAAGAGGTTTCAGAATGGACATGCTAGGAACACGGCCATTTTGGTTGTTTTTCTCTTCCATTTTCTTTTTCTGTTTAGCACACAGGGTTGCTTTTTAGCTAGTGGACTTATTAGTTAAATCTTTTTTCATCCTGTTAAATTATCTCCTCAAAACGAGGATTAAATAAGAAATTGTCTGTTCATCTTATTTGTAAGCAAGTATGCTGTGGTGTACACTTCTTTGCATGAAAAATGGTACAAGAACATTTTTGGATGCTTTGGCAGCTAGGTGATTGATGAAAACTATGGTCCAGTTGATGAGAACTTGGATCTATGTTCATACTGATGTTTGAGGAAAAATGTCAATAATGCTTCCAAGAGTTATTCCAGATAACAGAGTATGATGGCGAATGGAACTGAAAGTTGCAAATGTTAAGTGGATGGAGAGAAGAGACTTGTTTTTATTATAAAATATCTTTTGCCTGGTCTTTTGTTTTGATTGATGTCTTTTCCCTATCCTTTTAGGGGTAGATGGCACTTAAGGCAATTTCAACTTCGGTTGTCGAGTGAAAGATGTCATGTTTTAGTTGAACGGGTAGAAAAATTTCAGTCATTGAATGTCTTTATTAAATTCATAATTTAATTTGGTATTTATGAATCAATGTTTATTTATATTTAGCGGGCAGTTTGTAAGGAAAATAATCTACTGCGGCCTATCAACCAATACCTACTAATTATTAAAAATTTAGCTCCAGTTATTGATTTTCTCTCTCTGTTTGTTCTCACAGACACACCTATATTAAACACTGAGAATCCATTGGCCATTAGAATTGTCAATGTTTGTTTTTTGAAATAAAAAGTGTAAATATATATTAACTGAGTACCAAACAACTGGGGTACCACCTCTATACAAAAGCTTTACAATGTAGTTAGTGAGTCAATGACATACGCAAAATTTATATCACTAATCATGTCATGTCCTAATAAAAAATTGTCAATATTTGTATGTAGACACACTTAATCTACAATCTTTTTTACCCATGTTAGGGGATGCTTTTCCATCACTATAGGAATTTATTTCTATAAAAAGTTATTCCTTTGCATAAGAAGTTATTTTTCCAAATAGACATTATTTTAAATTCGTTCGAGATCTTATAACTTATAGTTTTCTAATGCATTGATTAGGATAGGGAGGAACTTGCAGGTCATGTTATCACAGGTCCTCAGGAGATTTCCAGCAACCATATGCAACAGAATGGATGTTCTGGAGATTTTCAAACAGAAGCTGACCAGAATACATGTTACATTTGTAAGCTTGATGGAAAACTCTTGTGGGTAACCTTTTCTATGAAACTTCCCTTGTGGGTAATCTTTTGTTCATTGCTTTTGTGTTTTTGCAAGCTCCATTTTGTTGTTGACGAATTGCATGTGCATATGACTATTTATTTTATCAAATATGCTCATTGTAACACATGGAGTGGAGTAAAAGCAGGAACAGAGAGAGTACAGAACATCTGAGGAGCCCCTTTTGAAATTTTCATTATTGGAACCTACGGCTTAGTAGCAGCAGATTAAGGAGAAAACCTAGATTACAAGAAGGCCCCAGTATAAGAAATGCACTAAGGCAAAAGATATATAACCACACTGTTAGGACTCTGCCCTTTGCAAACCCCCCCACTGGGGATCCTAAACACCAAAAATATTAATCCTGTTTGCCAAGATGTTTCAAATATTGAAGAAAGGATATTTTCTTCAGAATTTAAGTATTTCTAGTTTAGTTGTTTGGGTCTTTTTTTAATGTGTTTATGGATGTTTTATATGTTTGTATGCGGGCACTATGGGGAATAACGTCTATCAATTGGTTGTTAAAGTTGATTAAGTCTAGGAAGATGAGATTAGACAATTATTGCAGTTATCATAGGCAGTGTAGCAGTTCAATATTTAGCAGTTTTCACGGGGAGTTTTAGTAGTTACTACATTCTTCGAAGGACAGAAATTATTTCTATTATCTCTGTCAGATAAATCCCTATTTCTAATATATGAAAGACATGGAAGAAAATTATTAAAATATTGGGTACTTATTCACTCAAGATATCATTGACTTCTTTCTTCAGGAGTCATAATTTACGTCCGAAATAGGTAAAAGCAGAAACGTTAAAAAAACACTGTAAAGTCTGTGCAGATCTTCATGTTAATCGTCTAATAACTAGGTAACCAGAATTTCAGTGTTTGCTTGGGAAGCAGCTATGGATTCTATTCTCACGGTTGACAACCTTATGAGAAGAGGTTTTATGTTGGCTAACTGGTGTGTTTTATGCAAGCAGAATATGGAATCTTGTAACCATCTTCTTCTTTTGTGCCCAACTTCTTATGAACTATGAATAATGGTATATAATGTAACGACTCGGGAAATCTAAAAGGAAATAGATAATAACTTAAGTGCGGAAACGAAATAAAAAGTTAAAGTTTACATTTTTTACACAATAATTTAAAAGTATTAAACAGCGTTATAGAATTCATTCTTTGAAAGAAACATAAAAAATAAGGAAACAAACACAAAATAGAAAATATCTAGCATCTACTCGCAATTTTCTTGCGGATCAAGCTCTGGAATCTGGTTCTCTTGATCTGAAATTGTTAAATAAAGGATGAGCTATATTAGCGTAGTAAGGATATCACACTCTATCACCAACACAGAAGTAAAGGTTGCTATAAAATCGAAAACCACTAATGGAGCATTAAATTTAGCAAATTCATTTATCAATCATAAAATCATTTCTCGTTCACTTACCATCGTGGAATTTATGAAAACAACCTGTAAGAATAATAATATCATTCAGACCAATATTTCATGTATAATCAGCTATCATAGTACATATTATAAATGCATATCCATTATCAATAAACCAAACAATAACTACCACTCTTTTCACCAGCCTGCTGGTATTCATGGGGGTTCATAGGGATGCCCCTGCTACACGTGAACCCTTTCATTTATCATTCTTAATTATAGGCCATCCTCATACTTCGTCCGGTATGAGCACCAATTTACTAAATCTCAATACCCCGTCCGGCATGAGGGTGAAGCGGGCTGTCTCCATACCCCTTCCGGTATGAGTGTCAAATTATTAAATCTTCATATCCCGTTCGGTATGAGACAACGTTCATGGTAGGGTTCTCTATGTACCCGATCCGTCCACAATCTCTCAAGATATCCAGTAAGACTGCTGTTTCATCTAATCATTTAATTACACAATTCCTGTACTATTTAAATTTTATTTTTTCCGATTCAGCAATAAACACGTAAAATAAACCATACATGCGTTCAAAACCATAAAATAAATAAATAGGATATCATCATGCAGGTAAAATGTAAAAACAATCAACAACAACAATAGATAATTTTCGGTTTCGACTCCATTAGCAATCCGTAATTAATTATGCATGTTTACTAAAATCGCACAAAATACCGTATTATTATTTATTTAAAATTCAGTTCTATGATAGGGAATAGGGTGAGGGACCCTTACTCGATTTGACGCCCGAAAAGGTAAACTGTTTACTGCGCCTACAGGCGGTCACTGGGTTCCCTGAATTTTTTTTTCGGGAACTGAAATGCGCTAATAGTATCTACAAATGTTTCAGATAAACCCAAAATCAGTTCTAGGGCCCACTCGGCCCGATTTTGCATCGATCCTTACGAGAAAACATGTTAAAGGGACTCGATTGATCGAAAAAATACGAAATACCAAAACTCACCGGCGGCGGGGCTCTCCGGTGCGGCAGTTCTTCCGGCTCACATTACGGTTGGGTGTCTTGCTTCGGTCAACCGGTAGAGAAAAAAACGGTGATCATAACAGCGGAAAAATTACGCGAAACAGGAATCGAGAAGGGCTTCATCGGAGGCGTTTTGTGAAATTTTCCACGGCGGCGCCACCGGGCTTTACCGGTGTGTTTTGGCCAATTGGCCAGTCTTTTTGCTCCGATTTGGCCATGGGTGAAGTTAAAATTGAATTTCATGCAAAATGGGAAGTCTTTACCTTTTTTGGCGGTCGGAAAAGGTTCCGGTGTGGCGGCGGTCGACTTCCTGGCGGTTAGGTCGTCTTCTCCGGCGAGAGGTTCTGGCGGTTAGGGTTAGGGTTTGGTGCGAATGAAAGTTATTTATATCCATCCACTTTTGATCTGGGCCATCCATCGCGTTTAATTTAGACCATCCGATTGCAATTAAATAGGGAGTGAATCTGTGTTGTTTATCGCGATCTAATCTGGGCCGTTCATCGCAATTTATTCTGCACCGTCCGATCGTGTTTGAATCTGACTGTTCGATCGCGTTTAGGAGGGAGCGCATCCAGGTCATCTTTGCGGGCGGGAACAGATCTCAGTCGTTTGATTGCGGGTACGCGGATCGCCCCCGTGGCCTCCCACGTCTGCGTCTCTGCCACTTGGCGCGTCCTGATTGGTTAGGGCTGCTAACTGGGCATCTGACATGGCGAAACTTCTCAAAATTGCGTTTTGGCCATTGTTTTCCGATTTTTCTTTCAAAAATAACCGTAGAATCCAAATTTTCACCATTTTTCTCCAAAATTGTTTTCAATTAAATCCTTCATCAATTTTATTTTATATTTTTACTCTAAATTAAAATAAAAATTAAAAGAAAAATTGAAAAATTATTTTATTACATTTAAAATAAAATCCTAAATTACAAAAGAAAATTTTCAGGTCTTACATATAAGCTGTTTGGTGTCTCTTGGGTTATGGCCAGTTCGGTCAAAGGTGAATTGTTAGCTTTGGAAGGACTCACTTCGAGTACAAAATGACATAAGGTTATTATTTTAACAATTCTATGGATTATTTGGAAAGAAAGAAATTGTATGATTTTTTAGGGCAAAAAAACAAAATTTGTTATTATTAAGGATAGATAACTTCATTTTTTTGGTTCCATCATACTTGGTTGCAATTTTAATTCTTTTGATGATCTTGGACACATTGTAGATATACTTACTGATCTGTAAATACTATCTTTTGTACATGGGTTCACTCATTCGGCGCTCTTTTTAATATTACTACTCACTTTTATCTCAGAAAAAAAATAACTAGATCCATCAGTGGGAGACTCTAACAAACTGGTATTGTAGCCAGAAGGTATGGGGTATTATGTTCTATGTTCTAGTTATTCCTCAAAACATACCAGGAAGATCAGGATCAAGACCGCATAAGGATTGATTTACCTGATTCATCTATAAGAGAAATTTGTTTAGATTTTTTTTTTTGAAATAAAAATTTGTTTAGAAATTATTTGTTTTTTAATTTGTGCAAGGGAATATTTTTTTTTAAATTATTCAATTTGATGCTTGTAGTGAAGTGAAATAGTTAACTATCCACCATTATTTGTGTGTTTTAACCTTGAGGTTTGTGCTTTCTAGGATGTGTTCTGGTTTCTTACCATCTATAGTCTATTTCAGGTGTTGTGAAGGAAGAAGATGCAAAAGGAGCTATCATCTTCCTTGTCTAGATCCTCCGATCAAGCATGTCCCTCTAGGAGTTTGGTACTGTTCAAGCTGTGTTCGGAAGAAGATAGAATTTGGTGTACATTCAGTTTCAGAGGGAGTTGAGTTAATTTGTGATACTCGAGAAGTGGAGGTACCAAATTGTGATGGTATGAGCAAAACACTCACAATAACTACTTTTATTTCAAGGGATAATTTTCTTTAGGTTCATAAAGAATTGTGTTTGACATTTGGTATAGATAGTTTTCTGAAGGGGATCCTCAATGTTCTTATAACAAATGACATTTTTTATTTGCTTCAAGGATTGCAGAAGCAGAAGGAATATTTTGTCAAGTACAAAGGTCTTGCTCACATTCACAATCGGTGGCTACCAGAAAGTCAACTGGACGAAGCTCCGTCACTACTTGCAAAGTTTAACCGTAAAAATGAGGTACGTTAGTCCAGCTGAGAGAGTTTCTTTCTTCCTTGGAAGATTATTTGATCAACAAAAATAAGTCAGCATGAGTATGATGGCCGTCTTCTATCTCATAATTCTTCGGCATTATCAATCAGCCCT